AAAAAAATAAGAGATTGAGCAGGAACCTACTTAGTTAAAACAGTTAAGTGACATATCATCCAACTTTATTTGGATCGCAGTTCAAACCATTAAAACATGTTTTAGAAGATAATGGAGAAAATATGAAAATTTGTATGCTTGATATTAAGAGATTGTTTCTAAATGTGAAATGGTATAATTAATTTTGTTTACTTAAGAGTCTTTAAGTTTTAGTGACACAAACCAAAATATTTATAGACTTAAAAATAAACAAAAGCCAAAAACCCTGCCCTGGTCATGTGAATGACAGGAGGGGCGTGAGGCCTGCAAACCCAGGTTCCTTCAAACACTTACAATCATCATCTGTGTGAAGCTTGGCCTTCAACTTCTCCATTTTCCTCTCGTCTCGTAACAGCGTCCTGTCTTTTTTGAGCGTACCCGTCCCTTCCTCTTTCTTTTCTTCAATAGTTTCTTGGATTAAAGAGTATTCCTCATAGTTCGTTATTCCTAGCAATAGAAATTAGGTTATAATTCTAAATGATTAAATTGGTGTCAACCCTTTTCAGCCTAGGGCCTGTGATATTCCAAGAAATCCTTGGTGGCAAAGGACAGAAAGAGGCCTTACTAATGTGAAGGTCAGGGAAGTCATCACCTCAAATAACTCCAGCTAAAGTAAAGGATCTTCAGCTCATTAAGTCACCTTCAAAACATCATGCTCAATTCTCTTGTCCAATTTTTGAGACAGAATAAAGTAGAGATCATGCAGAGTAAGACAATGTCAAGGAGGAAGTGTCTGAAGGAACTGGGCTTCCTTTGCATGAAGAGAAAACTAAGGCAAGTCTATTTTCTTCTATGATTCAAAGGGCTTCTTGTAGAAAGGAGGCAAACTTGTTCTCTGGGGATACTAAAAGAAGTGACAAGAAGAAAATCTGTCTAATAGTCAATTGTATAGGCTGTCGCCATGAGCATTCAAGGAGATACTGGACATCAATGGTGCTTGCATAGAATGCCAGCAGTGGGTGGAAGACTGAATTACATTATTTCAAAAACATTACTTTATTTTGAAAATCCCTTTGTTTTAGAAGCAGAAATAAAAACTCTCAATTGTGACTTAGTGAAAAGTGCAAGTGTTTATAATACCACTTCGTGGATTGGCAAATTGAGAGAATGAACATACTCTCTTGGGATTGGGCAGAGCTCGATTTGTTAAGACACATTCAAAATTGCCTAGGCACCAAATGGGGTGGAAAAGAGTAGAGGCCCATAATTAGAAAGAAAGCAGAAAATGGAGCCAAGGCATGGGAATGCTCACCTATCCTGCTGCAAATAGTAACCAGGAGTTCCCCCACGGTCTTGGAGTCATCCACCATGACTGTTTTCACAGATCCATCCAGCATCCGGATTTTCTGAGGTCTCTGTTTCTTTTTATATTCCAAAATATCCTACAGCACAAACCATACGCACACATTGCACAGTGATTGAGAAAACAGATAACAAACTTGGACGCTTTTCTTTAAAAAATGAGTCCCTAGCAGACTGATTTCCTCTTTCTTCCAAAACTTCTTTGAAAGCCTTTCTAAGTTTTCATGGGGTTGTTGCCACTACTACAATACAAAATCTCCATTGCTTAATTGTTTTCATAAAGATTTTGCACCCAAAGAAGTAATATTTACAGCTCACAATTACTGCAAACTACCCTCTGTAAAATGAAACTGGCTTATATCCTCCTGAAAGGCTGGGAACGATCTGCTCTAATGAGAATTAGCAGAGGAAAATACCTACTAGCCTTATAAAAAGACAGTAGTGCATGTCTCCAATTACCTTTTACACTGTCATAAGCAATTTTTACAATCTATATATATATATAACACATTTATTTTAAAGATTTTTATTATACTTTTTCTCTCTATATATGTAATACATATAATAAAAGACATAAATAATATCCCCATAATTCTTCTCAGCAGTGGTGTATCACAGTAGTTGCGGTTTTCACAAGAGTACAGTAAAAACAATAATGCCAAGACCAAACAGGAGTAATAAGTTGGGGAGTTATTTTTATATAAGAGACTTCTTTTTTACTACACTTCCTAAAAATAGAACTATAGAGGGAAAAATTGATTGACAGCACATATTTCAGTCTCGCTTTATGGAATACTGACTAATCCGATAGGTCCACTCCATCCCATACAACAAAAACCCAGTATATCTCAGAAGCCGAACAGAACATTTAACATGTTTTTACACATTACCTCCCCCCACTCCCATAACACAACCAGTCTTCTTGTTGTTACTATTAGGGATAGTTATTAAGCTCACATCTCTAATTAGAAGTTTCTTTTTCAAAAACAAAACACTGGTTAATATTCAGCCTCCAACTACCTTTTAGATTACATCTCGTTCTCCCTTTCATCTATCCTTACTTTCCATCACCAGCCACAGGGATACTCCCTGTGCATACCTGTAGGAAGATGCTGTGTCTGAGCTCACAACTACCAAGTCCGACGATGGCACACAAAAACTGCTGAAGATGTTAACCCCCAACTGTTTCAATCCTTCTGTAGAATTTCAAGACTTTGGATTGCTGACATTTTCTAACACCACCTGAACAGCCCTTATAAAATACATTGCATCAACATTTTTAATAAGATGCCTGTGGATCAAAACAGCCTGACAACGTTAGCTTGTACCAAAGACCCAGGGAGACAAAGCGATGAAAAAAAAAAACAAAAACGGGATTGGCAGCATACCCCATTTCGCAACATGTAGTAATCCAGTGTTCTGCCCGCCTCCAGCCAAATACCTTTCCTGGGGTCTTCATCGGAAAGAAACAGCCCATAGTCGGAAGCTGGAACATAAACAGAAAGAGAAGTAGAAAACAGAGTGGTGATGATGCCATCAGTGCTGTCCAGGCGCTGAGCCTGCTGACTCCGCAAGGACGTGGGTGTCCTCCCCCACTAGAGAGAGACGTTTCGCTTTGACAATACGAGCCACTGCTGGGCCTGCAGCAGAGCCGGAGGAGTGAGAGGTGAGTGGCACAAGCATCGCCCACCAGCAAGGTTCACGTGCCTTGAAACCGGTGGGCTGTAGGGAAACACCAAGAACCAAGCAGTCCAAATTTCTTTCTAGCTGCATTTGACTTTGTTTCCTATTTCTTGCTATAAAAACCAGGTGAAGAACCCATGGAGAATAACAAGATGGCCATGGAGGAAACTAAGAGGGTGGCTGACTAAGCCCCAGGCATATTAGTCTGAGGGGGACAGTGGAGCCTTCACACCTGGAACGATCAATCCATCATCCCAGGACAGGGTTGTAAAACACAGGCAGGAGCTCCTTGTGAGATGAAGCCTCAGTCCCCCACTACCACCAAATTATGAGAAAAGTTGGAAAATTAAACTCTGTATTCTCCATAGAAACCCCTTAATCTGGCCTAGGAAAAAAGTGGGGTGGGTGGCAGGAGGGGGGCCGTATCATTTCCTATACCATGACTTCTCTCTTCCTTAATATAATTCAGAGACCCAGATGAGGGTCAATGCCCTACTATTTCTCAGAAAAACAACTTCAAGGTCTTCAAAGGTTTGTACCTTCATCAGAGCTATGTAGCAATCCAAAGAAATAAAGAAAAATCTGGGAGAAAAACTAGAAAAAAAGAACAGAAAAGTAAAGACACCAGAAATGACTGAACAACCAAATCTTAGAGTAAGTTTGGGGATGTAAGTAAAGTTTATTTATATTTCTGGGTAATGTAAAAATAACTTTTTTGTGTAGCATAAATAATACTTTTAGACCAAAAGATCAGAAGAGTTTTGTGAAAAGCAGATCTTTTTAGGAAGACGCATTCCTCTTACAATTACCCTTAATGTTATGTTTGACTTTTATTCTTCCAATTTTTAAGATAAGTTTTATCTCACTTCTGGATTAAAGGCTTACCTATTTGGGAGTGATCCCAATTTCTCAACTGTCAATCTTTAAAAAGCCCCTTCAAAGGGCTTGAAATGTCCCACTTGCACTGGGTCCTGATGGCAGTGGGAAGTGTTCACACATGTGAGACAGGGCTCGGGATACACAAAACCAGTAACAGTTAGAGCAGCTTCATTTGTACTTTATTGAGCAAATGAGATGATACATCAAAAAGTGATTTGTAAANCCATGACTTCTCTCTTCCTTAATATAATTCAGAGACCCAGATGAGGGTCAATGCCCTACTATTTCTCAGAAAAACAACTTCAAGGTCTTCAAAGGTTTGTACCTTCATCAGAGCTATGTAGCAATCCAAAGAAATAAAGAAAAATCTGGGAGAAAAACTAGAAAAAAAGAACAGAAAAGTAAAGACACCAGAAATGACTGAACAACCAAATCTTAGAGTAAGTTTGGGGATGTAAGTAAAGTTTATTTATATTTCTGGGTAATGTAAAAATAACTTTTTTGTGTAGCATAAATAATACTTTTAGACCAAAAGATCAGAAGAGTTTTGTGAAAAGCAGATCTTTTTAGGAAGACGCATTCCTCTTACAATTACCCTTAATGTTATGTTTGACTTTTATTCTTCCAATTTTTAAGATAAGTTTTATCTCACTTCTGGATTAAAGGCTTACCTATTTGGGAGTGATCCCAATTTCTCAACTGTCAATCTTTAAAAAGCCCCTTCAAAGGGCTTGAAATGTCCCACTTGCCCTGGGTCCTGATGGCAGTGGGAAGTGTTCACACATGTGAGACAGGGCTCGGGATACACAAAACCAGTAACAGTTAGAGCAGCTTCATTTGTACTTTATTGAGCAAATGCCTGGGTCCTGATGGCAGTGGGAAGTGTTCACACATGTGAGACAGGACTCGGGATACACAAAACCAGTAACAGTTAGAGCAGCTTCATTTGTACTTTATTGAGCAAATGAGATGATACATCAAAAAGTGATTTGTAAACTACAGAGCACAGTGTTGATGTATGGGAGGGTCAAAAAACCAGGCATGATGACTCAGCAGTCGACATGGTCATTGTCATCACGTCTCACACAGGAAGTGTCCAGGCTAAGAAGATATTCCTTTTACAACATACACACTAGTGGGCTTGTGCACCACTCAGAGCCTCGCTTCTTTAGCTACAGGGGAAAGAACATACAAACACATTTTGAGAAGCCAGCGAATCACCAGTGATCTACCTTGCCCAGTTTGTGCCTCGGGCACCCGTTCCCGAATGACTCGACAGGCGTCATACACAGCCGTAGATGGTTCAAACTGCATTGTCTTTACCACGTTGCAGTGACGGACACAGATCTTTAAGGACAGGGCCACCATTTTCCTAGATGTCTTGAAGGGTCTCACTTAGAATGTCTGGAAAACAAATGCAAAGAGACAAACCCTGATGGTCACCATAACTGTCTTGAGAAAAAAAAAAAATGCTGAATTCTCAAATCAACTTTAAAAATCAAAAAAGAATAAAACAGCAATTGAGATAATTTCAGCTTCAAAACATTTTAAAAATTAGTTTTGAAAAATTCAAAGACAACAGCAGTATATAGTCTATGATTATTCCCACAGGGTGACAAGCAGTCTTTAGGAGGAGGGGGCTGCAGATGTTCACCAAGCCCCCCCCTTAACAGTCTTCCCTACTGAGGGCTTCCTGAAGGGTCCTCAGGAGTGGGATTTACCAGGTTAAGGTCCCCAGAACCTGCGCCCATTGTAGCAAGTCACTTTGGCCACTCTGTGCCTCAATTTCTCCACCAATAAGGTAGCTATACTGGTATCAGCCCCACATAATTCATGAAATAGAATCCCGAGGGAGACCAGGGCGAGGCCAACGTGCAGCTGTCACTCACGAGGCCAGAGTAGTGATCTTCAGCCCCAAGCGTGCCAGACAGCCTCACACTTTCGGGGTCTCAAAGTGAGTAAAATGCCAACTCAATTCTGATTTCATGCAGACCAACTATTGGGGTATTTGCTCCCCATCCAGTTCAATGGTTTCAAAAAACATACAGGTTTAGACTGGGTTTGAATTATTTCCTAAATGCCTTCTTTTTAAAATGTTAAGTCTAACAGTTTGGTGCATTCACTTTGAGTTGGTGGCTCATGGTTTATTCTGTCAAATGTTTGCCTTGGATGCGAGACAGGGACAGAAGGAAACACTAATCACAGATGCTTTTCTCCTTGTGCCTGAAGAACCAATGCCCACCTAACCAGCTGATGCCATCCTGGCAAAGGAAACAAGGCCCTTCATGCTTATCCACTGCCTTGAGTTGCATGTCCCCCAAAACTTAATCCCCACTGTAACTGCTGAGGGTAGGAAATCCTATTATGGTAACTGAAAGGTGGGACCTTGAAGAGGTGATTAGATTGTAGGACCATGCATACTAAATGGATTAATAGGGTGGTCAGGGGTGTGGTTGTAAGGACTTTAAAAGGAGAGTGCGTGAGGAGCAATCTCTCTCTGTGCTCTGCCATTTTCTGCCATGTGAGAGCCCCGGGTCACTGCCGCTACCACCAAGACCCTCACCAGATGTGTTCCCTGGACTTTGGACTTCCCAGCCTTCGAAACTGTAAGTAATAAATTTTGTTT